CTTTTCAAAGTTTTATTGATAAACATATAGCAATGAGACAGTTTCAAATCAAATCGGAAGTACAGTTTCAACAAATAATACACTGCATACATTCTTCTCAGTGGTTAATTGCTGTACATATTTTAATTTCTAAGTCATACTTTATCTATTAAACAAAACCAGTATCTATAGTTATAGGTGGCCATGTGAACTCACTGACATAATATACAAAACTCTGACCATGCATGTCAGGCACATGGTAAGATTTCAAATATTAACTTTTTTTTTTAATGTTTTTTTTTTTAAATTTTATTTATGTGTATGTGCACGTGTGCGTGCGTGTGTGTGTGCGTGTGTGTGTGTGTGTGTGTGTATGTGTGTGGCCAGCTCAGCACACCAGGGGGTGGGGCTGGCTGACATGTGGTGCTGGGGGATTGAACCGTGGTCCCTGTGCTTTGCTGAGCTTGTTCTAAGTAGGTGCTTTAGACCACTGAGCCATCTCACCAGCCCCTCAAATATTAACTTTTATTCTTAAGAAAAGTATTTTTATTGCCACCATATTCAGGAGATAGTGAATTTGCAATTTCATTAGGTCATCAAGTATAGGTTGGTGGGGAAGCTACAGAGAAAAGCTTAGGCAGTAGACATACCTTTAAGGGACCTCCTTTCATTTTTAAGATTATGAACCTCTAAAGAACAAAAACATGGGCGAGGGTCCGGGGAGATGGCTCAGTGGAATAAGCGCTTTCTTGGCGAGCACAAGGGCCTGAGTTCAATCCCTGGTTCCGCAAATAGAAAAAAACCCAAAAAACAAAAAACATAGGAGAGGGAAGGAGGAGGAAGAGGGAAAAGAGACAGAGGGGCCATGGAAGCTGAGTGTGGGGTGCACACCTGTGATCCCAGCACTCTAGAGGCTAAGGCAGGAGAATCATTGCAAAGAGATCAGCCTAGGCTACAAAGTGACTTCAAGGACAGCCTGAATTGCATAGTGAGGCTGTGTCGCTGTGTCTCTGTGTCTGTCTGTCTGTCTGTCTCTCTTTCTCTCTCAGAGAGAGAGAGAGAGAGAGAGAGAGAGAGAGAGAGAGAGAGAGAGAGAGGTGGACCTGGGGTAGGGAAGCTGCTTTCCTACAGTACAATCTCCTAACATTTTTCTTTTTAGGGCAAAGAACTAATCTCTTGATCCCTTGTTTTGCAGGTCTTTGAACTTCACCCAAGAATGGTGTGCCCATCCCCCTAGATTTGGTACAGTGCAGACTGTGGCCTTAGAGTGACCCTTCAAAACTCAATAGACTAACTACTATGCTTTGCTTTAGAGAAAATGACCACAATTCCTATTGTAAACTTATAATAAGTCAGAAATTAACTTATGTGCATTTGTCTCTATTCCTCCCTAAAACCTAGTATGGTAAAATTAAAGGCACTATTCATCTATCACCAGGAAGACAACAAAAACAGAAGTGACAAGGCTGGGGCGATAACTCAGCAGCATAAGCACATGCCTGGCAAGGGTAAGGTCCTCAGCACTT